ACTATCAACACTCATGGAAGCAGCAAGTCAAGAAATCAAACAACATATTGCCTTAGGAAAATCTGCTGCACAAGACTTTTTTAAAGTGTTGAAGAGCAAAGATGTCACCTTGAAGACTAAGGTGCTCCTGACCCAAGCCATGGTATTTTCAATAAACTCATATTCATATGAAAAGTGGACAGTGAATAAGGAAGAATAAGGCAGAGAAGCAGCGACACCAGAGTTGGAGGCAAAGTTGATGGCATGAAGAGACAGAGCAGCTGAGGACTCTACATTAATGAAAAGAGAAAGGCAGAGTGCTGGTGGACTGGAATCTGGCTTGCAGAATGTGCCCTTTGGTTGTTTAATGATTATATAAACCTGAATGTTTTTATATATATAAAAAAAGGGAATAGAAACAAACACTATTAATCAATGATACATGGAAAGAATTGTAATCATTGCAATGAAACAAAATAGGATAGGTTGAGTGCAAAACCAATGTTCTCCCGTGTAAACTATCAATTCACAATAAAAGCTTTAAGAAAAAAAAATCGTACAGAAAGAGAGCAAACATCATTAAGAAGACAAAAAAGAAAGTAAAGACCAATATGATGTCAGCAGATCTGAAATTTGCTTTCCAGTATGTTGTTGTTAAGTGCTGTTGAGTCAGTTCTGACCCATAGTGACTCTATATAGGGTTTCTGAGGAGCAGCTGGTCAGCTTGAACCGCCAACCTTGCAGTTCAAATGGCTTTGCAGTCTGGCGTATTAGCCCACAGTGCCACACCACACCAGGACTCCACTTTCCAGCGTAGAGTATATTAAATGATATATCAAAGAACATGGAAGGAATATAATCACTGTACTAAAAAGAAATTGACTCTGTTCAATCATTTCAAGAGGTATCATGTGATCAAGAGCCAATGGTAAAAAAGATGAATAGAAAACTTCAAAGAGCAGTTAGAGAAGACAAAGTTAAGTATTATGATAACCTGGCATCAGAAAACTAAAATGGAAGAACATGCTCAATATTTCTCAAGCTGAAAGAGTTGAAGAAAAAATTCAAGCCTCAACTTAAAATATTGAAAGATTTTTTGCACAAAATATTGAATGTTGCAGGACACATCAAAGAAGGTGGACGGAATATATAGAATCATTGTACTAAAAAGAAATGGACTCTATTCAACCATTTCAAGAGATATCATGTGATCAAGAGCCAATGTTTCTTTAGGAAGAAGTGATTTGGGGCTTCTGGCCTCTAGAACTATGAAAGAATAATTTGCTACTGTTTTCAGCCACCAAGTTTGTGGTGATTTGGCACAGCAATCCTAGGAATTTAATACAGGTACTCATGAACAAACTTTGAATATTATCCTCAGTTATTCCTTTTTCTTTAAATGCTATATACATATGTTCATTAAACCTGTTGATTCTATCTATCAAGCATGCTTTAACTCATCCTTTTCTTTTCCTCTGGTGCCACTAAGTCACTAGGTGATGACCTCAATATATTTCACCTGAGCTATTTCAGCAGCCTCCTATTTTGTCACCCTGTTTTTGGTATTTTCATCTTTCAATCCATTCTTTCAATCCTTCCTCCACAAAGATATCAGAGCTTTTTTAAGTAAAACTGGGATCAGATTAAAAATAAGAACACTTGTTATTGTTGTTCAGTGCCTGTGAATCGGTTCCGATTCAAAGTGACACTATATAGCATTTCCAAGTAGTGACTTGTGGGCTTGAACCACTAACTTGTGGTTAGCAGTCCAGTGCTTATCCTACAGTGCTTTAATGAGAACACTAGCTAATAATAATATATAAGTTATTAGATGCTAGGCACTGTTCTAATGAATACACACATACAGAGTAAAAAACAATACAGTAGCTACGGTGGCCTGTAAAATAAAGGTATATTGAATAAACCAGGCCTGGAAAGCTCTTCTTATTTTCTCATACTGACCTCTACTGTATTTATATTTTTATCTCCACCAACAGTGAAGCAATTCACCATGACTCAACTTGCCATAGTCTTCTATTCCTCATTTGTTGTTACTGGGTACCATGGAGTCGGCTCCGACTCATAGCGACATTACACACAGCAGAACGAAATACTGCCCGATCCTAGGTCAACCTCACTACTGTTGCCATGCTTGAGTTGAACAATACAGCCACTTGGCCAATCCATCTCGTTGGCACTGTAAAATTTATTTTTTTTTTTTTACTGTGATTATTGCCCTATTTCATTTGTCTGGGAAATTCCTCATCCTGAACACTGAATGTAAACTTAGCTACTGAATCAGTGCTGGTGTTTTCTATAACAACTTATGTATGCTTCTATTTTTACTCTTTCATCTTGCTTTTTATTTTTTGTTTCCATGTCTGATTATTCTACAGTGCTTCACTATTCTGAGCTGATTTAATGTAGACTGTATTTTAGTTGTGCTATATTTTCATTTCCAGGGCCTGGTGCAGTATCTGAGAACAGTAGGTTCTCAATAAAACCTTCCTAAGTGAATGACTAGACCAAACACCTCAAAGTTATCTACTTTGTCTCAAAATGTATTCAGACTAGAATACATATTTCAAATGTGCAGTTGTACTTCCATTCATGATATTAAGGGAAATAAGCTTTTTATTAAACACACTTATGAAAGTAAATAAAGTCTTTCCCTCCACGTCTTTTACTTAAAAGTACAAAAATTATCTTTTTTTCATCTGATCAAAAAGCAAAGTAAATATAGAAAGCCTAGAAATACAGTACTCTAAATTAGAAGCTTTCAAGAAAATTATCCTTATAGAAGCCTGGAGACAAGTGTTGACAAGCAGTATGACATAGCTTTAAGAAGACTCAATTGAGTTACAGATTTGAGTACTCTTTATATCCTACAGGGAACTCTGGTGGTGCTATTGGGTAAACACTGGTCTGCAAATTACAAGTTCAGCAGTTCAAACCCACCAGGTGCTCTGTAGGAGAAAGATGAGACTTTTTGTTCCCTTAAAGATTTATAGCCTCAGAAATCCTAGAGAGTCTCTATGAGTCAGAATTAACAGATGGCAGAGGATTTGGTTTTCATACTCTTTAACAGTGTGATACTGACAACAGTGGCTGTATTTTACCTGTCTGAATCTCAGTTTCCTCATCTCCAAGGTGAAATCTGCACTTCTCCCCAACACATACACAGCTCTGATGTGAGGATCAAATGAAATCAAGCTTTTGAAAGCACACTGTGAAACATAATGTGTTGTCTGATAAAGTGTGTAGTTCTTCACTCACCAAACACGGTTCTTGCAGGCACAGATTCACGGTTAAGCCAGAATGACACTTGGGAGAGAATGACAGTCATGATGCAAGGCAGATATGTCTGAATCACAAAATACCCAATCTTTCTTTTCAAGTGGAAATGAGCTGTCATTACAGTATATTCACCTGGAAGAAAAATTTAAGAAGCTTAAGGAATTGTTAATAGTCAATAGCATGAACATTTTGAAGATGGAAGGATTTATAGAAACAACAGTCTCTATTAAAAAAAAAAAAATTATCACAAATATCACCTGAAAAAATGTATCCTATTTAAATGTCTTATTAGCATATCAAAGGACATTTAAAGGAGAATTTTAATATTACCAAAATGCTTTCACTGAATGTTCCATAGCCAAAGTGCTCATTTTTCTCTCTTCTTTTTGTTAACTGCTGTTGAGTTGGTTCTGACTCATAGTGACCCTATTAGAGTTGCTGAAGCTGGTGGGTTTGACTCACTGATCTTGAGGTTAGCGTGCAGTGCTTATCACACAGTACAACACCAGAACTCTGATTTTTCTCTTTAAGTTAAACTTTTTGGCAAAGGGGTTGAGGAATTCATAAATGTTCTCTGCAAAACAGGTTATCTCATGTGCTCAGGTTCCTCATCCCCATGGGCATCAGCCTCAAGTCTCTACGTTGATTGTTCTCACTTATTCCTCCCATGCTTCCTAATTAGTGCAGCTGTTACAGAAATCCACAAGTAGGTGGTTTAAACAAACAGAAATGAATTTTCTCATAGTTTGGTTGGTTGGTTATGTGCCATAGAGTCAGTTCTGACTCACAGTAACCCTGTATAGGGTCTCTGAGACTGTAAAA